GAGGCATGCTAAGGATACTAAAAATAAGAGATGGGGCCAGGATGAAAGTATAGTGTGTTTGAGTTTATGTTTACATATAATTAACATTCATATTAATATTATTACTTTCCAGTGTAATGCCTAATAATTTCATCCCTTCTACCACATGAAACATTATAGTTTGGCAAGAACTTTAGGAAATCTCTAGTGAGTATAACACCCTTTTCCTAACTTCTGGATTAATATAGCCACTTCCTTTCTGTTCTCACTAAAATATATCTAGTGTGGCAATGATGTGAAAATGAATTAATTTGAGGTTACTTGAAATCACACTGAAATGTTTTTGTTTCGAGCTTTGGTCTATTTTGACCTTTAGGTTAGCTTTGAAAAAAATAGTGAGGGATTCCTACAAGTGTACAATGAGTACTGGACTAATGATGTGGAATTGACTCCCCTCAAAAACCTTTCTTATAATAATCATCTGGGTTTCTGTAAAATGAGAAGGGTCATTAATGGCTGAAGTGAACATGAAAGTTGTCCCGACTCTGCAAGCATTTAGAGGGATAGTTAAAATCTGATTCTATGCCAGACACTTGGATCAAAATGAATGCAGTTCTCAGTTGGTGAGTTATAATATAGTTTAATTCTGACTACTACTTAATTGTTTTAGTTTGCATTATGAGTATGTATTATTCTTTTCCATTTTTTATTTTTTTTGTATGCTGCCTAGAGTCATTTATGAAACTTAGGCAGGGTGTGTGGGTGTGGTGGTGGATGTGGAGTCAAAAGAAGGTTTAAACAGAATTTTCTGCGTATACTTTCTATACAAATGTATAACTTAGATCAGGGGTCTTCAAACTTGGCCCTTTTATGACTTATGGACTTCAACTTCCAGAATTCCTAGCCAACGTGCCTGGCTGAGGAATTCTGGGAGTTGAAGTCCAAAAATCATAAAAGGCCAAGTTTGAAGACCCCTGACCTAGGTCCCCCATCAGACATTTTGCACAATCTATTGCATACAATTTCATATAGCAGTAAAAAGGTATATATGATCTATATTTCTGAAAGTACATTAAAATTTGCATGTGGAAGTTGCAACTGGAGCTTGTGCCAAATTTTGTCTGCACTTGTTAAATTTTTGCATGTGTAATATCAAGTCTAAAGTGCCATGCAAACTTTGTATCCCTTGAATGGCTTCTGAACAACATATTACCCTGTGAATTCTTTATTTTTTACAAAACGGTATCAGTAAACCTGTAAGCATTTTATAGATAAACTCATTCATTAAAGATTTATTTTTGTTTCTTATTTTCTGGAATTATCTCCAAAGTAGAGATCAGTGTCTGTATGCTGTTTTGTGGATTACTTTTTTCAAAACTGCTTTTCAAATACTGAGAACCTTTGGAATGGCATTTTTTTTATTGCCATAACTGGATGACTCTCCTTCTCCTTAGCAAAAGTAGTTTTAAGTATATGTTTAAGGATTTAGAAAAAAATTACTCTTTTGAATAAACAGAAAAAGGGTATTTAGAGTGTTGATTTTGGAAAGTTAAAAAAGTCCATTTAGTGTAAAATAGTGTAAAATTAAGTATAAAGTCTTATTTCAAATCTTTACATTTAATCATAAGAACTCTTCCCTGGCAACATGGTACTGTTTGGAATCCTTAGGGTGCAATATGATAGGATGGGACATTGAACGTTGGATACTAGAGAGAACTAGAAGAAACTAAAGATACAATTAAAAGAATACTTAAAGTTGAGTTGTTAACACAGAATGGAGCAAAATACTTTAACATTTGATATTTTGAGTAATATTTATGAACAATGAAGTTAATTTAAAAATGTCATCATAGATAAACGGTGTATCAATGATGTTGAGAAGAGAACAACCTCTACTGGACAAGACAGAAATTGATTTGAATGTTGATTTAAAAATGATAAGCTATAAGAATGTTATGGAAAGAGATGATATGCTGGATATGCAAATGAGGCTGGTTGATATTTTAATAATTAAAAGGGACAGAGAAATAATGTACCAAAAAATTTAAAATTTTGAAGGATTGTATAAAAAGGGACAAAAAACATTTGAAAAGAAATCAATTTCTAGGACATTATTTGAAAGGATTAAAAACCAAGATTATTAGAAGTACAGGGAGGAATATAAAGTAGGTTTATTTAATCAAGATTAAAATAAATTTGTAGTTATCTCTGGCAATCCTTAATGGACATTTGCTGATCAGGAATGAATGATGAGTTTTAAAGATTTTGTTTATAATAAGAGGTACATATGAGAAGAAGAGATTATTTGTTGTATATTAAGAGAAGGTGATTAGTTATTAAAATTGTTTGTACTTGTGTTAATAAAGTGGAAAATTATTTCTTTCTTTTTCTTTCTTTTCTATTTTTCTTTCTATACTTTTTTCTTTTCTGCACTTTGTAATTTTTCTTTTTAGTCCTATTTTTTAGCTTGTGTTATTTTTTATCTTTAAATACTCACCTTTGTTAAAATTATTACTTAAAAAGGATTTGGAACACTTGTTTGTTGCTTTAGTTCTAGCACTGCATTTTATTGATTCCAGAAATAGGCATTATGTTTATAGAGGAAAGTATTATTTTTATTAATCAAGTGGCCATTAAAAGGAATCACTTGGGGATTATTACATTAGTCTATTGAGTACAACTGACACAACTGACACATAAGTTCATGTTGGTTCATAACAAAAAATCATAATATAGAGTTAATATATCTCCTCCCCTGTTCTTTCTTCCTTTTCTGTAATCAAAGAAAAATACACTTCAGTTAAAATCTGTGTTAGCAGATCCTGATTTCAGGTTACTTGCAAATCAGGATTATCTCAAAGGTGCTTTTTCAAAAGGCAACTGAACTTTGTTTTTCCTTGAAGATGTTTTGCTTCTTATCCAAGGAGCTTCTTCAGTTCTGATTGAATGGTGGAGGATGGAAGAATTTATATTCCTTGCACTCATCTGAGAGTCATTGAGGCCACTTGGATGTTTATATGAGTCCTCAGGGTCACCTGAATAGTGCAAAAGGGCGTGGAACCATTTTGAAACTGCTGAAAGGCTTAAAATAAAAACTAGTTTCTTTAAACAAGTCACCAAACCAGTTCTGACTCACTTAGCAAATGATAATTGTAAAGCACAGTTTGTAAGTTTAATGTAATAGGAAGTCAGTAATCTTTTAGAGTGAAGCTTAATTCTGCTTTATTGGGGGGTGGGGGGGAGACAGGCTTGAATCTTGTGCTTTGAGGTCAACTTCTTCTTCTTTTAATTATGGATGCAACTTTAAACCTAAATGACTGTTTACCATTGCATACAAACTCATCTATTACTTTTAAAAAATAAACAATGGTAACAGTCTTGTAAAGAGAATATTTTTTTTTTTTACATATTGTATGACCGTCTTTGGGGGGAGATTAGAAGATGGGATACAAATTGATCATCAATCCATGATATACATCTTCATAACTTCAAACTCACACATATAACACCAAACAAATAAAGCTAATAAGTATAAAGAGCACGGATATCTACCCATTCAATACAACTGTGCATCATATTCCAGCAGAAGTTTTTAATTTTCTTCTCCTCACAGACTGAGAAAGCAATGCCCCCTGTTTGGCAATGCAGATGGGTGCCTTGCATGTCATGGAAATGCTGACAGACCTTCACTGTTGTGGCATACGAATGTGGCACCAGTAAAATAGCAGCGGAACAGATGCTTCCACCACTGCCCCTGGTGGGGGGGAATGATGATGAAACAGAAGGGGCATTAGAGTTGGTCGATGGCAAATTAATCCTATTGTACTAGCAGCTGCATCTAGCGAGATGTTAGCATTCGTGCTTCAGCTCTTCCAGTACACCAAGCCCTGGTAGAGATGGTTGGAAGAGATGAGACAATGAAAGGTCACCAGTTTCCATAGAATAACGGAATAATAATGACAGGGGGAAGAAAGGGATATTCATGAATGCATTCTCCCAATGTATCACTTTCTAAGGAGACAAATCCAAGCTGGGTTCTGAATACGAACTTATTTTTTTTTTTCAGGTATAAGTTGTTGCCTAACTGGTAGGAAAAGTAAGGTTTTACTTACTGCTTTTCTTATTTTAAAAGCTCTGGCAAGCCCATTTGCAAATCAAGTATGGAAAGGTCTGATGTGATTGGCAAAAAGAATGGGGGAAAGAGTATCCTCTTGTTTATTTGGAGGAGGCATAAGGAGGTCATTCAAATATTTCCTAAGAAAGTGGTGTTTCTGGCATCAGATCAGTAGAATGGAAATATCATCTTCTGCTTCCAAATGTAAAGCATCTAATTTTGAATGAAGACTGCATGAGATGATAGAAAGTCAGAGGTTTTGCTGGTTCTGTTTATATCTGATTTTTGTGTGCATGCCTATGTAAACTACATCTGGCATGTTGCATGTACCAAGCTGGCATCTAACGGTTAAATAAGGGCCACTTTCTCCCCATCCTTACCCTTTTCACTGCCTTTTTTCAACCTGAGATGCTGCTCCCCCCCCCCAAAAAAAGTAGAGGCTCTAAGCATTTACAAATGGTAATGCACCAACAGTTGGTCTCTATCCAACCCAGCTATTGTAAGGATCTTTCAAAGAGACATAACAGAACTTGAAATCTCCTGCCAAACTGCTTTGCTGAGTTGAAGAACATTGTACTAAAGCTAAAAGACGGGGGGGGGGGCCGCGGGACAAGGAGAAGGATGGTGTTCAGCTCCTTCATTAAAAAAAAAAAAACATAAGGCATGTCTTTTCTGAAGCCAAAACTTTTCTAGCATACTACTGAACTAAATGTTTTGTTATGATCAGGCTCTTTCAGGTAATGTAATATATCCTTAATGGGACAACTGAGAAATGAAAGACGGTCCAGGATACTTTGGAGGGGGAAAAAAAATCCCCTCCCCCCAATTATAAGGGAAACTCCCTTTCTCAAGAAAGCCATGAGGACAGAGCATGCTCAGTATATACAGAATGTTGAAAACAATTTGGAAAAGAAAAATGGAAACCTTGGGGGGAAGGGAGGAAGATTCTAAAATGGGCTGCTGAAGGATGGTATGGTTGGCTGCAGGAAACCTGAGCAGATACTCTTCTATTAGGAGGTGAGAATATGCAGCAGAATTGTGTTGCAAGATACATGCTTTGTGGTAGTGCAGCCTCCTGAACGCTTAATTAAGTCTTAGATTTATATTTTGGGGTCCTTTTAACAGATCACACTGTAATTGCCAGCTAATTAAGAATAATATTGACAAATAGTTTGATTAATTAATGGATAAAAATTAATATGTTTCAGCACAAGTTGAATTTTAGGATCTCTTTCAGGAAAATAGCATTCTCTTTCTACTAAATGCTACTATGCTTAAATGCATTGTGTGAGAAATCAGATAAATCAAGGTTCTTGGCAAGAATATGAAAAAGCATCATGTATAGCATTTTTAACTACTTTCTGACCTGAAGGGAAAAAAAGCCACATTGTAAAAATTTCTTTTGTAACGTTTTAAATGGAAATGCAAAAACACCTGTATCTGTATGCCGATAAAAATGGTAAGCTATAGAATCTAGGCATAACAAAATTTAAAAAGGGGGAGAGATTAATAATGAACCAACATGTTTGTGTTTTGCCATGTTGTGAATTCTGATGAAGGAGAATTCTTTTCTGTCTTTTTAGAGAAATTTAAAATATATTCAGCAAATCTTGTTGGCTTGTATATTGACGATACTGAAACATTTTGATGAAAACATTTAAAAGAACAAAAATAGCTTCATAATTATTAGGAGTATGGGTAACATAAATTATATGAAAATTGGATATTGTAATACTCTATATTGGGATGTTGTATATGGATTACTTTTAAGTAAATAAACATGTTGCAATTGCCCTGATTTAGTAATATTTTATTTATTTATTTGGTAGTATTATTGGACAAACAATGCAAATGTCAAATCTTATCCATAGACTTAAACATGGTCAATATTCAAAATGTATCTTCTTCAGATCTAAATTGGTAACTGTAACAATTAAAGCAATAATCAATCTGATGACTAATTTCAGACTGGTTCTCAGCTCTCTGCGTGCTTATGTGTTGTACTAGATTATATGTCTACATTAAAAAATGATATTTGCCAGTGGAATTGTTTTTCTTTCAATCAAAACTTGCAAAGGTCTACAGATATAAGTAGGACAAGAGCACATAGAATGTAACATTTAATAAAAGTTTATGGTTGTAATTCTATAGTTTCACACTATTATATTATACTATACTATATTATATTATATTGTATTGTATTGTATTGTATTGTATTGCATTGATTGCATTATATTACATTATATTATTATATTATATTTTGTTATAATCTATGCCAGTAAAATATGCATAAAAAAAATACTTTCCCAAATAAAATGAATATAAGAGTCACAGTGCAAATACATAGATTAGTAGCATATAGGATTAACAATACCTTCCGTTAAGGTAAGAAAAGTTAAATGTTAAGATCCCAAGAGCATAATAACTAGGTAAGATTTGCCTCCTTCCTTCCCTCCTGTTTTTTTTTTTTTTCTTTGATTCTCAGGTCACATCAAAAAAAGGCATATCATACCAATGCGATTTATGCTTGCAGATAACGTGGTGTAAAAAATTATGAATTACCAGTGAGCAATTTGTTATATGCAAGACTCATGATAACACACTGAAGCTGTTCATAGAAAGCCTTTTTTGTTTCAATCTTTACAAAATAAATGTTTCAGCTTTCTAGGGAATATTTCTCTTTTTGTTCTTGCTGTTTTTTTTAAATCTGAAAGAATTAAATATCAATATACTACTTCCGGAATTACAGAGTACTTTGGAACACTTTTAGGAATGATAGCCCTGGGATATAGCTACAAGACTATTTTACAAAACCATCAAACAACTTAAAAGCAAAATACAGTGTACTAGAAATTCCTATTTTAAATTCAGTCTGAAGGAATTGTATGAAATATGTGCTAAAGTAAAATATTTAATATGTATACTTCTGGGAACAATTCATAATTCCACCCTTAAAAATGATTCAAATAGCATGAATTTTAAAACAGATTTGTTTCTATGAATTACAACGGTTCAGTTACATTATATCTAAACATGACGATCACTGGTTTAAAGGAGTCTTATGAATATGTTTTAATTTATTAACTGATTAAATTGGCCTATATTTACAAGTGTGCCAAGAATTTCTGAAACAAAAGGCATTTTCCTCTTTTTTAAATTTAAGACTACGCATGCATCTATAGCTAGTATCAATTTGTAAAAGGCTGTTCACCTGTATGCAACCGAATGCATATCTCCTTTTAAAATGGTATTTGCCACCTGCTGTTTTTCTAAATATTAGAAACTAAATATCTTGAATTGATTGACACTTTAATTGGAAGAAAGTTTTGAAAAGCTTTAATTAAGCTAATTATCAAAATAGTCATATAAGGATTGACTGAGTTAGTTCTACATAAGGGAAAATATGTATAACATTACAATATGATTAAAAAGCTATCCATAATTAAATATAAATGGTTCAAACAATTTTTAGTTGAGTTCTATAGTTTAATGCTTTTTAAAAACAAAATTATATCTTAAAATTAAATTTTAATTTTTTTAAAAAATTAAGATAAAATTTAGAAAAGCATTTCCTTTGCAAGACCCATTTCTGAATTGGCTGTGCAGAACACTGTTTGTTTGTGTTTAAATGGCACTCAGGCTTTCTCTTGGTTTCCAGCATATGGTGCATTACCCATATTCTTTTGTTGCTTCTAAATCTCTAGGAAATTGTGAAGCTAAAAGGATGTTGTGTAGGTAAATATAATTACTGATATATTCTGTTTGTGGCCATTGCACCGTATGGAATGAAACAAGAATTAACTGAAAGCCTTAATAAGCATTACAGTTGCTACATGCTGGTTATTTCCCTGAATGAAAACTAAGTATTTGGTTTTTGTTCAGTCTAAAAATAGATGATTATATTTATTGATATAATTTTATTTCAGCTTGACATTTATGTCAAACTTTCTAAAAGGCATATTAATTATTTAGAAAAATAAGTAAAGGAGGGGAGAAATGGAAAAAGGCATAAAATGAGCCTGTACGTGTTTCACTTCCTCTCTCCCCAATGCCCGTCTTAATAAGGTATTTGTATTTAAAAGATGTTCACAAATAGTGGCACACTGCCTGCTGGCACTGAGCTATTACCCCCCCTTTCTTTAACAATCATATGGCTTGATTCTGTTTTCCAGATCTTTTCCAAGAGCTGCTATTTAAAATAAAAATGTTTGTATCCATTTCCCTATTAATGGCCTCATTGTAATACAACCTGCTGCAGTTAAAATGGCGAAACAGATGCAACAATGAAAATTCAAAGTGATGGACACTCAGGCTTTGCCTGTAAAAGCTGCTAACAATTTTGAGAATTGGAGTGGCATTCGGAGCTCTATCAAAAGCATCAGTGAAAAAAACAAAATAAAAACATCTATTTCTGAACCTAAGAATTAGAAATACGACACAGGCCCAGACACTTCTCTGCCTTAAGAGGCTTCTTTTATTGAGTAACATTAAGTACGGAATCATTCTCCAAAATAGTGTCAACAGATTTCTCTTTGGGGTTTATGCCACTGCTGGTGTGTCATGCAGCATTTTAAAATTAGGGTGCCGGCCCTGTAGAAGTTTGCATGACTGTGCATTCCCTCTACAAAGAACTTGGATTCATTTACAAAAAGAAAAAAAAAAGAAAAAGAAGGAGGACGATATTGGCCCCAGAAAAAGCAACATCTGCATTATTTGGGATTCAATATTTCTTTCTCTCTCTTTTTTTTAAACCACTACCATTACATCTCCTGAACTGCAGTACAATGTTTTCTGACCTTTACAGAAGCGATATTTGTTGAAAAGACTGAAGGCTTCATGTTTGTTTGGAAAGCTAGATGACAAGATATAAACAGTGAATGGTTTAAAATTTCCAAGATGACATAAGACTCCAGTTCAATTTGCTATCATCCCTTCCTCCAAGGGTCAGTGAGGTCAGGAAGGAGAGCCTAAATAGAGATATTTGGTAAGAAAAGGAGGGGTTAGCCTATGAAATTTCCAGAAAAACCAATGAAAGCAGAGCATGAAATATTGCACCTTCAAAGCATAAAATGACATAAATGTGGCAAACAAACCCTGCTTAAATGCTTGCACGATTAATAAATAATACAATGGATTAATTGAATAAAAATTGACTTCAGTCATTCTTACATGGAATTGGTACACAGACCGCTTTCAGATTTATTTCAGTTTTATGTAAGTAATCGGTCTATTCTACCTTATTTTCACATTATTCTGAGGTACAGTGTACATACTGAATATAGTGTGCGTGCATGTGTACGTTTGTTTATTTGTTTATTTTCTCTCATTCATATACGAGTTTGAGCACTGTCATCCAAAACTGGAAGAAGTATGCTACTGATAAAACAAACAAGAGCAAATATAGAAAATAAGAAACAGAGGAACAAGAAATATTTGTGTTTTTTTAAAAGGAAAAACACATAACTGTGCCTTCCACCTTTCTTTCTATCGAGTAATTATCATCTCAAACTTTTCCCCAACCTCTTTGTCTAATAAGATAATGATCAGTCTGGGATCTGCAGATCACTCTGAGAAGAATGTTCTCCTTTTCTATCATGATATCTCTGTCCCTACCCTGCAAACAAATGCATGCATTAAAATATCTACATGAAATGAATTTTTAAACAAAAACACCACTAAGGCATAATAATGAGGAAAGGGGGGCACCTGTCATTGTTGTTAAATGTATTCATAGAACTTGCCTCCTGCTTGAATTTCAAGACTAGGAATCCAATCTTGTTTCAAATATATATTTAAAACATACTATTGTGACATTTGCAATCTCTAATTCACAAAGTAGTGATCTGATGGAGAACAGAAAAATACAACTATTTGGATGGACTGAGGCTACTGTTGCGTCATTGCTGGTGTTATCCCCAAAAGTCCTAAATCACTTCATTCCTAGCAAATACAGAATTATCTCTTTTCTTGATCCTGTACAGTTAAACCTTGGATTCCCTTCTCCTGAGAAACTAGAAGAGGTGAGGACCCAAAGAAAAGCTTTCTTAGTTGTCATCCCTGCATCACTACAGCTGGCTTCCAGAGTCCAGGAGGGCAACAACACTGTCTTCAGAAAGGTAACAAAAGGCTTTTATTTCACCAGGCATTTGGATCTTGGAGTTTATGGAACTTTTTTTCTAGTTTGTTAGATGCATTCTGGTTTGTATTTTTTAAATGAGATTCAAAGTATGAGTTTGGATTTTTATACTTTGCTTAGTTATTTGTTTAGGCATTGTAAACTGCCTGGTTTCTGGCAATATTATTATAAATCAATAAAATCAATGGTTGCTCACATCTAAAGACATCCATACATCTCTCCACATCTCACTATCTGCATCTCCATTGTGTTGGCTAATTATTTTGGTCTTCTAGATTGCAGCTGGATTAATTAAAAATGGAAAGGCAAAAGTTTAGTTACAAAGTCTATGTGAAAGAGCTTTAGAAAAATATAAACATGACATACACTGAAAAGAAGAAGTACCCAAAAGATGGGAGTGAGGATATAAATAGCCAAAGCCAGGACTAAAATAATTCCATGTGGAGAAGATTAAAAAACCCTGGCTAATTCAACAAAACAACCAGCAAAATGTCCATTGTAGTACGTATGGCTTGCCCCTTAAAATACCTGGAAAAGTATATCCTATCATCTAAAGAAGGCCCTCCTGTTAAACTATTAGGAGTATGTGTGTATGGCAGTGATGGTGAATGCTTTGGATTCGATATGTCAAAAATTCAGAAAATGCCTACTTTGACTATGTATGTATATTGTCCACACACCCCTCCCTGAGCAAATTACAAATAATTCATAACAAAGAGTAATAAATCAAAGTAAATTAAATTATTTAAATTTATTATTTACTAAATACTTACACAATTGTAAATATTTTTTTGAAATGCCCATCCAAGGCAGCTCCGAGTTGCTGCAGGCCTGGAAACTTCAGAGAGGTTTGGCCTTGTAGGCTTAAAAAGAGTGAGAAAGAGTGCTCCATTCTTACACACTCAGGAGGCTCAGAGGCTGCACTAGGCTGCATGGGAGCAGGGCCCTCTTGCACAACTTCTCAAAGATCTGGAGGATTGGTGTGTTACCCAAACTGACATGACATGTTACCTGTGACACACACATTATAGGTTTACAATTACTGGCATATGGGAAGGGAAAAATAAAATAGATTTAGATCAAAATCATCTAGCTACAAAAACATGATTTTTATTTATTTTTTTAATGAGCAAGATTTTCATTTTTTAAAAAAGAAAATGAAAAATTTAAAAAGGAAATATTATCAGAGGCTGCTTATATTTTGAGAGAGAACATGTTATTGAAATTTCATATTTTAGGCTTAACCAGTTCTAGCTTTGTTCTTTAAGCTCTTAAATTGGTTTTGTTGGAATAACACAGTAAAATCCTCAATATTTCAGAGAATATACATACATACATACATACATACATACATACATACATACATACATACATACATACATACACTTGCTTACAATGGCATAATGGGCAGGGGTGAAATGGCAGCCTAAAGTGGGTTACCAGTGAGCTTCAGTGAATACTGATTAGAATGATTCACTAAACTACTCATCATTAGCTGATGCTTGAGAATCAATATACCACCAATGTTTCTGTTCAGGTCAGCTAGTTGGCAAGGGCAGAAGGTCTGTCTCTTTTGGTTTTTATACCTGACTTTAAAAAGCCAGAAGCCTCATTTGCTAGTGTTAATTCCCCATTTCCTCTCCTGCTGAAAGAGTTGACTGAGAACTTTGTTATGGAAGAAAATGCACAGTCTCACTCTTTGATAATATGAGAATTCCAATTCTGATCCAAGAATTTTTGAAAATCCAACCTTTCCACTCCAGAAATATCTCTGTATCTTTATAATATGCTATATTTAAGACTTACCAGTATAATATATGACTTTAGTGGTAAGTGTAGAACTTAGTTTTCAAAATATATCTGTATAACATATAAAATAGAGTAAGGATCTTTTGGGATGCTCACACCACCCATGTGGAACTTGGGCAGTATGTTATGGATATATGCACAAAATGGTTGCCATGAAAGGCACAGCTAGCAACAAACACCTATTTATTGGAAGAAAACTGGAAAGATTGCTTCATGTAGCTTATTCTATCACGTTATATTTTGTTTTTCCAACAAAGCTTTCCTTTACTTTTATTTGGGGGAAGTGGTCACCCAATATCTTTTGTAAGAAAGTTTGTGAGGCATTTTTAAAACAACAACAATTTTGGAGACTCATGCTTCCTAAATATTCTTTGTCAGAAAGCCAGAAGAGTTTCCTCCAGATTGCTAGAATGCAATCTTTTCTACTGCAAAGTTCATAGCAATAGTGATGTTTTGTTCTCATTTGTGTATGATCTGAAATTGGTATTAAAGTCTATTAGACTTCAGGTTTATTTGGAAGAACATTGAATGGTGAATGACTACTGTGGAACCCATAGGCAGTGTCTTGTTTCTCAGGCCTTGTATGGATGGGAGAACAAGCTGCATCATATCTCTAGAGCAGTGAGCATCCTCCATCCTCATCTTGGAAGGAGCAGTGCTGTTCTGCTTGCGTCAGAGTCTCTGTTGTACACAGCACAGAGATGGCACTGACAATATAAAACAGCACTGGGGGGAAGGGATGCCTGGGCAGGCCAAGATGGCAGATGGCTTTTAGTGGCCTGCTGCTTTCCGTTTCTCTACCTTTTAACATTTGTGCTATTTAAAAGCTCTGGGTTATTGCCCCCCTTTTTTACTTCTGTTATCCATGGGCTCTTAATGGGAGCTTTGTAGCTGAGAACAAATGGAGGGAATTTTTTAGTAGGAGGTCATAGCCAGCTGCATGGAATTCAGCTATCGGGATAGCCACAAACACAGAGAAAGGCTTACCGAGAAAGTATCCATCAACTTAGGAGGTATGCAGAGATAATGCCCATCTTCTTCTGTGAACATGAATCATTGGCATTTTAATGGGCCTTAATAAAAGGGCCATACAAAAGTTATGTTAAAGCGTATGGGAGATCAGAGAATGCTGGCTGCCTCTTACACACTTCAACATTAAAACTCTGGGGCAAACACTGTTTTTTCCTGCAGAAAAATCTAATACCCTGGAAAACCGTTTCCTTTCTGTGCTATCCATCCTTCTGTAACCTAATCCATTCAAAATATGGTAGACTGCAACTTCCATAATCTTCTAACCAGCAAAGGTACTGTCGCCTATATGGCCCTGAATCCTCAAGCTTGCTGTGTGTGATTTTGATTTTCCACACAGGAAGATAAATTGCCATTTGTATTCTACAGTTTGTGAGTGCTTGCATTCTTAATAAAGTACATGGCAGCATATAATTTTCTATTTGTTTATTAAATAACGTTTTATGACTGCCTACACAAATGGTAACTCTAGAAGGCTTACAGTGTTAAAATTTCACAATATAAGAACTCAAAACCCCACTATCACCATTTCACTGGCAGCAGCCACACAATCATTCCAGCTATTTGATTGGCTCTGTAACAACCTAGAATCCCCAGGCCTGCTGACAGAACCACGTCTTCAGTGCCTTCTGGAAAAAGATTAAGGATGGGGCCCATTTTATCCCTGGGGGAATGCTATTCCAGAGGCAGGAAACCATCACAGAGAAGGCCCTTTTCTTGGTCCCACTGGATGTACCTCCCTAATAGATAAGAGTGTACTAGTATGAAAATTGCAGTTGTAGGGCAGAACAGTGGGCCTGTTGTAGAGATGCTCCTGGCATTGCTCAAGCCTAACTGAATTCTGTTCCATATCCCTCAAATCAAATATGGACAAGTTTCACCCATATTTTGAGGCTGCTGCTAGGAGAAAGTTACATTGCAAGGAGGCTCTGCATAGAGGTAGAAGTGCTGAACTTCTGGCATCTTTGGGGGTAGAAAGAAGGAGGGAAAGCAGCATATTTATAAATATGAAGATACTTGAAGAGCTAAAGTGGATTGGGGATCCATTTCATAGACCAAGAAACTCTCAAACAGCAGACAGCTGAAGGATTTTTGTAGTGAGCACCAGGGAAAAAGTATTAAGAGGTACTATTACATGTCCTTTTCAATGTTCTACTACTCCTGTTATGGTATAGGAATCACAGCAAGTAAGCAATAGTTCTGGGTTTGGGTAAAAGAGATGTGGCATTATTTTGAAGGAACGGCAGATCTAACTATACAGCAGAAAAAATTTGAACAGAATGAGCATCAAAGGCTATGTAACACCTCAAGTCTGCCCTGAACATCAGATAACAACATTGTTCATTTCAGCTTTCATATAAAGTAGCAAAAGCCCATCAGGGGAATAGAACATTAGGACATGAATATGAAGTTTATCAGTTCCACCATAAATCACAGTGGAAGTGCATTTTCTCCAGATATTCATTTGTGTATTATACTTATATTCTTCCTTGCTGCTAAAATTGATGCTCAAGGTAGCTAGAAATGACAAAAGCAAAGTTAGACATAGAATTATTATTAGGCATAGATGGTGACCATGATTGCTTGATTAAAGCTCCGCCACTTTTTACAAGGGTTGGTCACCCCTGATTAACCATAAACAAATGAATTATAAACAGAATTAAAATGGCAACCACTTGAATAAAAAGAAGCAACCAGCACCCAACTATGCACTACTCTTTCTCTCAAAGAAAATGGTCTTGTTTCTCTACTTATTAGCTTTGCCCACATTTAGGCTCTTCCTGTTCTGTTCATTGCTCATAGCATAAAATGTTCTCTATTTTTGCTTTCCTTTTTGTGAGTATCTGCTAAGAAGTTATATTATATCAGGGAAAAGAAACCCTGTAGAACAGGGCTTTTCAATCGGTGGTACATGTACCACTGCTGGTACTTTGGCACCTGGCAGGTGGTATGTGACCTAGGCAAATGTAGCGGGGGGGGGGAGAGCTGAAGTGGTGGCAGTGCCAGAGAGCCTTGGGGAGAGTCAGTTGGAGCTGTGATGCTGCTGGAACTCTGCTGAGGACCCAGGACTGGCACGCACAACTCAAGCTGATTGGTGCTTCTGGCAGTCTCGGGGGTGGCTGGCAGCCGCATTCAGTCTTC